TATATATATATATATATATATATATATATATATATATATATATATATTTTAAAAACCACACTTGTTTAAACTATTTAAATTAATGTAACTACTAAGGTGTCACTCCTATCCTGCAGGGAAGGCAGCTGATCTAATCTCTACTCTTGATTACAAAATCCAAGCCATTTCCCATTCCTGTACAACCCTCCCCCAAGCACACCTCAATTTATGTAGTGACACGTGTCTCTTATCACTCTTTCTCTCTTTCATGCTTTGGTTGTCTCTCCTTCTCTGGTTCTCAAGCTTTGCCCTCATTTCTTTTGTTGTGCTTGCCTCTCTGTTTTCCCTTCCCCATCTGCAATTTCATCTGATCCTTGATTGCGCAATCGCTTCTGCAGATCTGAAGGCCAACTGTGTCTCCTCCAGCCTTGACCTTGCTCTCTTAAGCTGCTCAATCTGTTTCCACTTAAATTTTCTCATCTCTGACTGCCATTCTACAGGCACCTCAAACTCAATTTTCATTCTCTGTTAAACATGGTTTCCTGTAGATTTCTATTTATTTTAAAGAGATAATAATTATTCTAGTCATTTAGGCTTCAAATTTACGGAATCATGTATTTACCCCCCACCTGAACTTGACAATGGTCTGTGTCTTCAGACATTATATTTTAACAAACTGAACTATGTGATCATTTCTTAAAGTTTTCTATGCCTTTCTTGGCTCACATCATTACTAATAGACAGGTCCTGTCTTCTTCATTCTACAAATATTCATTAGGTGCTGATTATTTTAGACATTATCCTACGAGAATAAGATATAACCTTCCTCTCCAAGAGTTTACAATGAGCCGTGTGCTAGGTCTTGAGTAAGCACAGTAGTCGATTCTGAGAAGGTTTCACATGCACACGTGCACTTCTAAGCCATGCTCATGGAACAGACTGACCTGTGCACGGGGAACAACATGTCCTAAATGCTCTGTGCCAGGAATTTTAGAAGACATTCAGTGATGGCAGGTGTTTATCTTTATAGTGACTTTTATTGATTTAATTCTTGGAACGCAAACACCTATAATGGCTCTTTATTTCATGTTTTTTTCCTTGAAGACTTTTCCATATGGAGTGTATTAAGTAAAGGAGATGACTAGTCTCACAAGAAGTAGTGAGATATAAGAGCTATTCCCTCACTGAATACGACTCTACTTTTCCTTATAAAACCTAAGAAGGCTATCTGGCGGAGACATGAGAAATTAAAATGGTCAATACCTATGGTGTGTGTGGGTGTTTTATGAGAAAGTCCTTTGAGTTGAATTAGTACTATATGGCTGAAGAACAGTCCTTTCAAAAGGGAAAGAAAAATAAAACATTTCTTTGGAATCAAGTGGGCTTTTCCTGTGTATCTCATTATAGCAGAAGGTGATGCCTTTAGACTCATTAACAATGGGGTTGAAGTTATAATTGGGATGAAAAACATGAGCTCATATGAACTGAAGCGCTGGTTTGTACCCAGGGTAGTACAGTTTGCTGACCTAATCTCACCCCCACAGATCCTGCATGATACAATTTGTGCATCCCTAATGAATATAACTGTCAGGTGGAAAGATCCAGCCTCTTTTTTTGAAATTGCACAGGTCAAATCAGAATTGGTGTCTGGAAGACAACCGAATATGGGTAGAAGCCTGGATCCTTATGATCTACTTTTGTTTTAGACTTTGTAAGGATCTTACTCACTTCTTTTAATCACACTATTCCAAGAAACAAATATCATTTTATTAAAAAAGAAGAAGAAAAGTAAAACTACTTCTTACCCTTTAAAAATTCTCTGTAACTTGTTAGAAGAATAAACTGTTTAAAATCAATCATGGAGCAGAACTGTCCTGCAATAAACTAAAATAATGCTTATATTTGTCAATATTTTAAAGTTTTCTTCAGGAAAATAAAATCACAAGTATCTATCAGAATGATAAACACAGAAGTCAAATGAGCAACATTCTTCTTATGCAATTCTAGCCTCATCAGATTATTTTCTAACTATTCTGTGTAACACTCAGAATATCATAGAAAGGGGTAGCTTCCCTCTATCTCTGTTCTTAATGCTGCAAACACTGGGGGCTCTTATAGAAGTTACCTCACCACTCTGGCCCTCTTTCCTTCAATCAAATGAAATTATTATAGCACCTACTATCATAGGGTTTCTCTGGCATTAAACAGTTAAAATTAC